TGCCTCAGCCTCCCTAGTAGCTGGGACTACAGGCGTGCACCAAGATGCCTGCTAATTTTTGTATTTTTAGTAGAGACAAGATTTCACCATGTTGGCCAGGCTGGTCTCGAACTTCTAACATCAAGTGATCCACCCACCTCGGCCTCCCAAATTGCTAGGATTACAGGCGTTAGCCACTGCTCCCGTCCCATATTGTCTATCTTTGAGAACAATTCATGTGCTAAGGAGAAAAATGTGTGTTCTTATTTTTTTATTTTATTTTTTATTTTTTTAAGGCAAGGTCTCAGTCTGTTGCCCAGGCAGGAGTGCAATGGCACAATCTCAGTTCACTGTAACCTCCACCTACCCAATTCGAGCGATTCTCCAACTTCTGCCTCCAGAGTAGGTGGGATTACAGGTACCTGCCATCATGCCCGGCTAATTTTTCTATTTTTAGTAGAGAAAGCGTTTCACCATGTTGGCCAGGCTGGTCTCAAACTCCTGACCTCAAGTGATCCACCTGCCTCAGCCTCCCAAAGTGCTGGGATTATAGGCATAAGCCACCACACCTGGTGAAAAATGTGTATTCTATAGCTGTTAGATGAAATGTTTGTTAAATATATGTTAAATCCATTTGATCTATACTGCAGATTATGTCCAATGTTTCTTTGTTGATTTTCTGTCTAATGCTGAAAGTGGGGTGTTGAAGTCTTCAGCTATTATCATATTGGGGTCTGTATTTAATTCTAATAATATTTGCTTAATATATCTGGGTGCTCTAGTGTTGGGTGCGTATATGTTTGCAATCATTATATCTTCTTGCTAAATGGACCCATTTATCATTGTCTTTGTCTCAGTTTTTGTCTTGACCTCAGTTTTGTCTTGAACTCTGTTTTGTATTGCTCCTGCTACTCCTGCTCTGTTTTGGTTTCCATTGGCATGGAATATCTTTTTCCATCTCTTTATTTTCAGTTTCCGTGTCTTTATAGGTGAAGTGTGTTTCTTTTAGGTAACATATCATTGGGTCTTGTTTTTCATCTATTCAGACACTCTGTGTCTTGATTGGAAAGTTTAGCTGGTTTACATTCAAAGTTATTATTATTGATAAGTAGGGACTTACTCCTGCCATTTTGTTATTTTCCTGGTTGTTTTGCTGTCTTTTTTTTTTTCCTTCCTGTCTTCCTTTTAGTGAAGCTGATTTTCTCTTGTGGCGTGCTCTAATTTCTTGCTTTTTGTGTGTGCATATCCATTGTATGTTTTTAGATTTGAGGTTACCATGAGGCCTGCAAATAATATAACCCATTATTTGTAACTGATGATAACTTAACACTGATTGCATAAACAAAAGGCAAAATTAATACTTTACACTTAACTTCATCCTCCTGCTTTTTAACTTTTCATTGTTACTTCTTACATCTTATTTTATTGTCTGTCTTGAAAAGTTGTAGCTATTTTATTTGTTTTTAGTTATTATTTTTGATTGGTTCCTTGTTTAGTCTTTCTACTTAAGTCAAGAGAGGTTTATATACCACAATTACGGTGTTACACTATTCAGCGCTTTTCTGTGTGCTTACTGTTACCAGTGAGTTTTATATCATCAGATAATTTCTTTGTTCTCATTAACATCCTTTTCTTTCATATTGAAGAACTACCTTCCATACTTCTTATAGGACAGGTCTGATGTTGATGCAATCCCTCAGCTTTTGTTTGTCTGAGAAGGTCTTTAGTTCTCCTTCATGCTTAAAGAACAATTTCAGTGAATATACTATTCTAGGGTAAATGTGGGCTTTTTTTTTTCAATCAGTCCTTCAAATATGTCATGCCAGTCTCTCTTGGCCTGTAAGGTTTCCACTGAAAAATCTGCCGCCCGAGACAGTCTTGCTCTGTTACTCAGGCTGGAGGGCTGTGTCATGATCTTGGCTCACTGCAACCTCTGTCTCCAAGGTTCAAGCAATTCTTGTGCCTTAGGCTGCCAAGTACCTAGGATTATGGGTGTGTGCCACCACACCTAGCTAATTTTTATGTTTTTAGTAGAGATGGGGATTTTCCGTGTTGGCCAGGCTGGTCTTGAACTCCTGGCCTCAAGTGACTCGCCCACCTCTGCCTCCCAAAGTGCTGAGATTACAGGTGCGAGCCACCACACCCAACTTGATGCAAGTACTCCTATGGCCATCACCGCTGGAACTGTTCTGGGTTAGCCCTGAAGCCAGCATGGCACTGGGCCTTGCCCAAGGCCCTTTTCTTCATGGTGGCAAGTTCCCCCAGACCCTGGATGTGTCCAGAGATGCTGTCCTTTCTTTGTACTTGGCCTTTGGGAGTTTGATTATTAAATGCCTTGAGGTAGTCTGACATGGGTTAAATCTGCTTGATGTTCTATAACTTTCTTGCACTTGAATGTTGAAATATTTCTGATATTATCCCTTTGAATAAACTTTCTACCCTTATCTCTTTCTCTGCCTCCTCTTTTAGGTCAATAAAACTCTTAGATTTGCCCTTTTGAAGCTATTTTCTAGATCTTGTAGGCGTGCTTTCATTGTTTTTCATTCTCTTTCCTTTTGAGTCCTCTAACTGTATTTTCAAGTAGCCTGTCTTCAAGCTCAGTAATTCTTTGTTCTGTTTGATCAGTTCTGCTATTAAGAGACCCTGATACATTCTTCAGCATGTTCATTGCATTTTTTTAACTCTAGTTCTGCTTGATTCTTTGTAATTCTTTTGATCTCTTTGTTAAATTTATCTGATAGAATTCTGAATTCCTTCTCTGTGTTGTTATCTTGAATTTCTTTGAGTTTCCTCAACACAGCTGTTTTGAATTCTGTATCTGAAAGGTCATATATCTCTGATTCCCCAGGATTGGAACCTGGTACCTTATTTAATTCATTTGATGAGGTCATGTTTTCCTGGGTGGTGGTGATGTGTGCAGATGTTCGTCCGTGTCTGGGCATTGAAGAGTTAGATAGTTATTGTAATCTTCGCAATCTGGGCTTGTTTGTGCATGTCCTTCAAAAAGCTTTCCAGATATTCCACGGGATTTAGGCCCCAAGTCCAGTAATTCTGTGATTTTTGCAGACTCATAGAAGTACCATCTTTGTGGTCTTGGATAAGATCCAGAAGAATTCTCTAGGTTACAAAGCAGAGACTCTTGCTCTTTTCTCTTACTTTCTTCCAAACAAATGAAGTCTCTCTCTCTCTCTCTGTGCTGAGCCAGCTGGAACTGGAGGTGTTTTGATGCAAGTACCCCTGTGGCCATCAGCACTGGAACTGTGCTGGGTCAGTCCTGAAGCCATCATGGCACTGGGCCTTGCCCGAGGCCCTTTCCTTCATGGTGATGAGTTCCCCCAGACCCTGGGTGTGTCCAGAGATGCTGTCTGGAAGCCAGGGATTCTAATAAAAATCCTAGCGATTTACCTGATGTTCTGTTTTACTGTGGCTAAGCTGGCACTCAAACCACAATACAAAGGCCTTCCTGCTCTTCACTCCCCTTTCCACAGGCAGAGAAGCCTCTCCCTGTGGCCATCACCACCACCACCTCTGGTCCACATGTGCTTCTCCCAGCCACTGCTGATATTTGCCGAAAGCCCAAGTGCTTTTCTGTCGCCTTGTGGTAAATGCTGCCAGGCCTGGGACTCACTCTTCAGGGAAATGGGCTCCCCTCTGGCCCAAGGCGAGTCCAGCAATGCTAAGAGCCAAGGCCTGGACTCGGAGACCCCAAAAGCCTGCTTGTTGTTCTACCCTACCATGGCCGAGCTCGTATCTAGTGTGCAAGACAAAATTGCCTTTACTTTCCCTCAGCTTTCCTCAAACAGGGGACTTTCACCATAGCCACTACAGCTGGGATATGCTGGGTCACCCCAAAGCCAGCATGTCTCGGAGTCCAAGACCCAGAGCATACTCCCTGGGTCTCGCCACTGGTTATTTAGGACCCAAGGGCTCTTTACTCAGCAAGTGATGAAGGCTGCCAGGACTGCCTCCTTAAGGCAGCAGTTTTCCTTTTGGGTTAGGGTATGTCTGAAAATGTCATCTGGAAGCTAGGGCCTGGAATCGGGGTCTCACAACTCTGCCTGGTGCCTTATCCTACTGTGGCTTAGCTGGTAGCCAGGATGTAAGACAAAGCCCTCTTTTTGCTTTCCTTTCCTCAAGAAAGGAGTCACTTTCATAGCTACAAGCTGCACCACCTGAGGTTCAGGGAGGGGCAGCACAAGCTTTCCCTTAGCCTCACCAGCTGGTGTCTCCCCTGGTCACCTGTTACTCTAGTTTACTGGCTCTAAGTCCAGCCTAGCACTAGGAGTTGCCTAGGAATTATAGTCCTCCTTTCCTAGACTGCCTTTCAAATTTACCTAGGACCCCAGAGCATTTAGCCCACATGGTGAGGGTTGCTAGGAAATTCAGTATCCACTGCTGGGATGGGTGATAGTTCAAATGCTCCCTCCATCGTGGGCACTGGTGAAGCCCAGCACAGCTTTATTCTCTGCTGTGACAGGGCAGCACTGAGTTCAATGTAAAGTCCCCCCGTCACTATGCTCCTTCCCCAAAGTGCACAGACTCTCCGTGCTGCATGTCTGCTGCGAGGGGATGGGAGAGAGGTGGCATAGGTGATTCAAGACTGTCAATGCCTTTGTCAGTGATAGGAAGTTGAAACCAGGTACTATGAGTGCTCACCTGGTGTTTGCTTCTTGTGCTTTTCTGTGTGCAGACAGCTGTTAAAATTTGTGTTTCAGTAAGAGTTGGGGGGAATAACAAATGTTATCTCTTTTCCCACGTTCTCTTTGTCACTTCTGCCCAGTTCTCACTCTTTGCTTTTAGTTACCATTCCTAGAAGAGAATCTCTGAGTTTCTCTTCCTGTTTTTCTGTTTGCTCAAATGAGTACATAAATATATATTACTTATTTCCCCTTTCTTCTTACCCCAAAGGCGTAATCCTGTAAATACTCTTTTATACTTTGCTAACTATAGAATTCTAAAGGTAAATAAGACTTTATTGTTGTAGTTTTAAGATTATTCTTTTTTTATTTTTTTTATTTTAGACGTTAGATCAGCAACAGTTCTTCACAGAGGAAGAGCTAAAAGAATATGAAAATATTATTGCTTTACAAGAAAATGAACTTAAGAAGAAGGCAGATGAGCTTCAGAAACAAAAAGAAGAGCTACAGCGTCAGCACGATCAACTGGAGGCTCAGAAGCTGGAATATCATCAGGTGGCATTTTGTCAAAAGATTATGGCATTAAAAAAGATTTCAGGGGCTTTGTTAAAAACCTGTGTTTTTGTAACATATTTCATTGTACTGTAGCTATAGTATTTTAAATTTTAGTACTTTAAAACTGTTTTGTGGAATATTAATCTAAATTTTATTTTATTTTACTTTATTTTGAAATAGCCTGTCTCCCAGGCTGGAGTATAGTGGTATGATCATAGCTCACTGCAGCCTCAAACTCCTGTGCTCAAGTGATCCTCCCACCTCAGCCTCCCCAGTAGCTAGGACTACAGGTGTATGTCAGTGTGCCTGGCTAATGTTAATATTTTTTTGTACAGACCAGGTCTCACTGTGTTGCCCAGGCTGGTATCTAACTTCTGGCCTCAGGTGATCCTCCAACCTCAGCCTCTGAAAGTGCTGGGACTATCGGCATAAGCCACTGCACCTGGTCGAATCAAAAGTTTATAGTTTGCATATCTTTGTTTTAGAAAACAATTTTCAGTTACTATGTTGTGCTTTGTCGAAGGTCACACATATGATAGAAAATCAAATTATACCTTTTCTTTTTCCATTCACCAGGTCATACAGCAGATGGAACAAAAAAAATTACAACAAGGAATTCCTCCATCAGGGCCAGCTGGAGAATTGAAGTTTGAGCCACGTATGTAATTTTGTTTGATTAGCTATTTAGGAAAATAAATTATTGTATCAATTGAAGCCCACATTTATTACAAATATAATTTCAAATCATTAAGATGATATGTTATATTTTGTGTATTTTTTTGTAGTATTAGAGCAATTTAGATAACAGAAAAATGAAAATGCCTCCAAAAGTTTTATGTAGCAGCAAATTTTAAGTGCTATATCATTTATATATGTAGGATATGTGTGTGTGTGCGTGTGTGTGTGTGTGTGTGTGTGTGTATATATATATATATATATTTTTTTTTTTTTTTTTTTTTTCGCTCTTGTTGCCCAAGCTGGTGTGCAATGGTGCAATCTTGGCTCACTGCAACCTCCGCCTTCTGGGTTCAAGAGATTCTTCTGCCTCAGCCTCCTGAGTAGCTTGTATTACAGGTGCCCACCACTGTGGCTGGCTAATTTTTGTATTTTTAGTAGAGATCGGGTTTCACCATATTAGTCAGACTGGTCTGGAATGCCTACCTTGGCCTCCCAAAGTACTGGGATTACAGGCATGAGGCACTGTGCCCAGCCATATCATTTATATAATTTGATAACTATATTAATGGTTAATTGATTTGTTTCAACATTATTTGTTATTCTTTCTAATTATATTAATCTTACCAGAGAACATGTTTTTAAAAACTGTAATCTATGATTAGCTAAGCATATTTTTAAAAACAAATGTATCTGTATATGAAAGAACATTCAGAATAAAGGAAGATACTTTTAAAATAAGAACATATTTTTTTTTCCCAACAGACATTTAAAGTCTGAAGTCCGCCAGAACTTGGAAGAAAGCTGTTAACTCAACATCTATTTCATCTTTTTAGCTCCCTTCCTTTTTCTCTGCTCAATAAATATTTTAAAAGCATATTTGGAATAAAGGAAAATACTTTTTAAATGAGAACACTTTTTCTTGGACACAGATATTAAAGGATTGAAGTCTATCACAACCAGGAAGAACACAAACTCACTATAAACTCTCTGCTCTCACTCTCACACAGCTCTTCCATTTCTTCTGTTCTCCTTTAGTGATTTAATTAAGTGACTTTATGCCATAAGTTAGTGTAATTATTAGGAACGATTTAAGTGAGAAAACTGCCTATTGCTTTTAAATTAGATTGCTCTCACTTACTCATAAACATAGATATTCTTTATGGGTGCTTATCATTCCTTCTTTTAATAAATGGCTCTTTGATATTAACGATTATGAAAAGTCCATAGCATTTCCCTGTGTTTCCTGGTAACCTTTTTCTACTTTTGGCAACCTCAACTGCTAGAAATTCTTCACCTGAGTAACCTTTGTTATCACTTTAGGTCATTTTTCATTCTTTTTTATTTTGCTCTATACTTTATCATTTGAGATCAGGTTCTATTATATACAACAGAAAAACCAAAGATAACAGAAAACTAAATAGGAGTTTTTTTTCTTACATAAAAGAAGTCTAGAAGTAGGTGGTGTCCAAGTTCCTATCTTTCTGTTCTATCCTCAGTGTATGATTTTTATCCTCAGGTTACCTCACTCTCACTGTTCAAGTTTGCTCCTGGAGGGAGTGGGGAAGGCAAGAAATTGGACTTTCTCTGCTTGAATTAGCTTCCCTGAGGCCATTTTCCAGAACCAGCAGCACATGAACTTATGTCTCTGCCAGAATTGGGTCACACTGATGGCCACACCTGGCTGCTAGGGAGGCTGAGAAGTCCATGTGGCAATGTGACCAGCTGAAAGTTGGATTCTTTTACTAAGGAAGAAGGGAAGAGTATTACACTGATAGGTAGACAGCTTTCAATTTTAACCTCAGTCAGCCTTGTTGGCTACCTAAATTTCTGTGTATGTTCTTCTTCTGAGATAGAAAACACTCACTCCTTTCTCCCCTGAGAGAAACCACCAGAAATCCAGCCCATTATTGCATCTTAGATGAAAGACCACGCTATCTGGGGACAGTCCCCCCCATCATGTTAGGGTGTGGCTCCTTGTGTTCTGGCCACCTACAAACTAAAAGACAAGTTTTCTGCCCTAGGAGCACCAGATGCATAATGCAAAGGTGCAGGAAAACTGACCTTTTTAATTTTTTAGAGACAGGGTCTCACTCTGTTATCCAGTCTAGAGTACAGTGGTGCCGTCATAGCTCACTGCAGCCTTGAACTCCTGGGCTCAATTGATCCTTCCACCTCAGTCTTCCTAGTAGCTAGGACTATAGGCACATGCCACGAACACCTGGCTAATTTAAACATTTTTTTTTTTTTTTTTTTTTTGTAGAGATGGAGTCTTGCTGTGTTGCTCAGGCTGGTCTTAAACTCCTGGTCTCAAGCAATCTTCTTGCCTCAGCCTCTCAAAGCACTGGGATTATTGGCATGAGCCACCATGCCCAGGCATTCTAAAATTGACCTTTTAGAAAAGGTGAGAATTAGAAATACAGCAGTCACTGATCCATAGAAATTTGAAAGTACCACTTGCCAAAAATGAACAAATCTCTCTGCTATAGTCCATGAATATATTCCTTGGTTTGCCTATCAGGCAACCCCTGATTCACCTTTCTAAGAGGAATTCTTTATCTAATGTCCTCGGGGCCTTGGTTTTGCTTTCTGGGAGGTTTTTACTGTACATTAATTTTCAGATACAATCTGAATGGGCATTGGAAAGTATAGTCTTCTTGGAGCTGGGCAGCCTTAGCAGTTTACTTCCTATAATTGTGAGTCTGGGGGCAGGCTTGGGAATTAGAGTATACATCAGTAACAGCTACAGGCTGTTGCAGGCCAGGTTTCGGTTTTTGTTACTGTTTTGTTCTGTTTCTTGGCCAAGTGGATTCCTAAAACTTTAGTAAGTTTTTGGACTGTTGTCTTCAATCATTTTCATGAACAGCTTTAACAAAGCTAAAAGGCACTGTTTTTAACAAAGAACTTCATCATTTACTTGCTGACCTCTGTGCGCTCTCCATCCCCTTTGTTCTTACAGTATTGGTACCTCCTTGCAATCCTTTGAGACTGTAGGCTTGGATGGGATGGCAACAGTCTTAATCTGGTCTCTTCCATTATTTGGCAGAAAATTCGTAAGGGAAGCTTCTTGAAAAAGGTTGAGAAAGTTTTAGCAGCTCCCTCAGAGCCTTTACTTATAAATGTTTCAGTTTGGAGTACAGACTTTTTCAATTCTTCAGGGCTTCAGATTTGGGACTTGGTCAATTTATATGACAGATAAAGAGCAATTCTCTCAACAAACCTACTTTCCCTTGCATCACTGCAGACTTGTTAACCTTAGCCCATGTCACATTTATCTTGCATGGCTTTGCTAAAGTCACATTTCTCTTGTAGGGCTTTGCTGAAGTCACAATTCTCTTGTAGGCTTTGCTGAAAAGAGGCAAGAAGCTGCCAACACATGCTAGCACTCTGAAGTTCTACCACCTTCATCTCTGTGGCAGGAAGTCTCAACCTCATCTTGACCTCTGTTGGCAAGAAGTCTCACTGCCCAAAGCCCTACCTCCTCAACTAAACCAACCCCAGATTTAGGGCCTTTGACTTGCTGCGCCTTACTTCTAGCTACCAAATTCTGTATAGATCAAGATTCTTGGCTATAGGCAATGAAATCTTTAGCTATTAAACAGAAGGGGATTGATGAAGAAGTATAGGTAGGACACAATCTATGGGAGGGCTGAAGAAACAGACCTAGGCTGAGCTGCTAGGAACTACATCAGAAAAGTGGGCTGCCAAAGGAGCTGCTGCTTTTAGAACAATCAAGAAGCCACCTGCTGGATTAGGAAGCTGCCTGCCGGACTAGGAAGCTGTGAACAGTTGCCAGTTCCAGAGCCACACCACCTCTGCCCTGCTTTATGCCAGCGAAAATAGACACATCTCTTCCTGCCTCTGCCCCCATGTAACTTGATTCTGAGTAAAAGTCTCAAGTGAGTGAATCTGACTGACTGGACCAATCATATCTGAAACCCTAGCTGCAAGGGAGGTTGGGAAATACAGTGTTCAACTTTCCTACCTCTGTGTATTAGGAATGCATGTTCAAAGCTACCCTAGGCTGGGCATGGTGGCTCACGCCTGTAATCCCAGCACTCTGGGAAGCTGAGGTGGGTGGATCACCTGAGGTCAGGAGTTCAAGACCAGCCTGGCCAACCTGGTGAAACCCCATCTCTACTAAAAATAAATTAGCTGGGTGTGGTGGCTCACACCTGTAGTCCCAGTTACTCAGGAGGCTGGGGCAGGAGAGTCGCTTGAGCCTGGGAGGTGGAGGTTGCAGTGAGCCAAGATCATGCCACTGTACTCCAGCCTAGGCCACAGAGCGATACTCCATCTCAAAAAAAAAAAAAAAAAAACCTACCCTAGCACCTCAGAAGTTTACATTGTTTCACTTAATATTAATAATTTTTTAATCTCTTAGTTTATATTTTATAAATTTTTAGATAATCATTGCATATTCCTCCAAACATACTTCAGATTTTTTTTCTTATTAAAAGTAGCAGTTTAGAAAAGTTATTCTTATATACAGCCTAAAACAGCCTACAAAGCCAGGCATAGTGGTTCACGCCGTAAATCCCAGCACTTTGGGAGGCTAAGGCAGGTGGACTACCTGAGTCAGGAGTTCGAGACCAGCCTGGCCAACATGATGAAACCACATCTCTACTAAAAATTTAAAAATCAGCTGGGCATGGTGGCACATGCCTGTAATCCCAGCTACTCGGGAGGCTGAGGCAGGAGAAATGCTTGAGCCTGGGAGATGGAGGTTGCAGTGAGCTGAGATCACACCACTGCACTGCAGCGTGGCTGACAGAGTGAGACTCTGTCTCAAAAAAAAAAAAAAAAAAACAAAAAAACACAGAACCTACTCAATGTAGTGCTTGCTATGCTTTTTTAAGAAATAAAATAGAATCTCTATTGCTTAAATTGTAAGCAATATAGAAAAATGGTTTGGAATATCCTTTTGTTGATGGCTATTATCTGTGACATGAAACTGATAAGATGTTCTTTTGGGTAAATGTTTTTAGATGGTAAACTGTGGATGAATAAGGAATTAACTGGAAGACATAATTTCTTGAAATGCTTTTTTGGCATGAGTAAATGAGGGATATTAATGTAGAAATATTTCACAGTTTCTAGCAAACTAATATAATTTATATTATTCAGAAAAGAATTACTAAGCCTAAAGTGATGGATTAAGGAATTACAGTTTTTGTGAGTACTGGGCATTTATGAATGAATATTATTTCTAAGAAAGGTGCAAACACTATTCAGTTCTGTTAGAAAGTATTGGTCCTGTGTTTATACCCTTCTTCATATTTCTTTAGTTATTAAATGTCTTTGGTTTAGCTGACTTAGTGGAATTTATTAGGAATTTTAAGTTTTGTTTCACATATGAATTTTTATGAAGCATGTACATTTTATAGTATACTTAAGTAGAGGTTGAGCATTCCTTATCTACAATGCTTGGGACTTGAAGTGTTTTGGATTTCAGATTTTTTTGTTTTCTAGAATATTTGTGTTATACATTCATTCATGCATTCATTCATTCATTTATTTATTTATTTATTTATTTATTTATTTATTTGTTTGTTTGAGATGGAGTCTCACTCTGTTGCCCAGGCTGGAGTGCAGTGGCATGATCTCAGCTCACTGCAAACTCCACCTCCCAGGCTCGAGCGATTCTTCTGCCTCAGCCTCCCAAGTAGCTAGTATTACAGGTGCCCACCACCCTGCCTGGCTAATTTTTGTATTTTTAGTAGAGATGGGGTTTCATCACGTTGGCCAGGCTGGTCTCAAACCTCTAACCTCAAGCGATCTGCCTGCCTTGGCCTCCCAAAGTGCTGGGATTACAAGCATGAGCTACTGCCCCCAACCTGCATTATACTTTATTGGTTGAGCTTCCCAAATCCAAAAATCAGACATTTGAAATGAGCATTTTCTTTG